CGGGCGGAGGGCGGAGCGGCCGGGCCTGGGGCCGGTGGGGGCGGGCCCGGGCCCCGCAGCCAGCTCTCGGGGCCGGGGGACTCCGGTCGCCGCTGCCGCTGGGGATCGGGAGCCCGACCCGGGACCTGGGCGTCCGCTGGGGAGGTCCTCCAGCTGGCGCGAGCGCTGCACGCCGCCCTGGTCCCCGCCGCCTGGCTCCAGCCCGCGCCCCCCTCGCCGCGCACCTGAGCCGAGCTCCCCGGCGGCCGCCGAGCCGCGCCGGAGCTCCGGTTCGCTTCCCGCGCGCCGCCGCCAACGCCGCCCACGCCGCTGCCGCTCGTGCGGGGCCGCTGCCCAGGTGCCGCGGGAGGCCGGGTCCGCGGCCGCCGCTTCGGTGGCCCCGGCTCCCGCCCCACCGAGGACGCTGGCCCGCGAGGAGGCAACTTTGCGTTCCCGCCGCCTTCCCGGCTCGCCCGCGGGCGCCGCTCGCCTGCCGGAGCCCGCCCGCCCGCCTCCCGCGCGCGCTCACACTCGCGCCTCGCACACGGCCGCCCCCCGCACCGCCCCGCCACGCACACCGCGCTCCGCGCCCCCCGCCGCTGCCCGAGGCTGCCGCGCGCTGCCCCAGCCCGCGCCGCCCTGGCCGCGCCCGCCCCGTCCCATCTCGTTCCAGCGGGGCGCCGCGGTTCCTGGGTCAGCGGCCGCCGGGGCCCGGCTGAGAGGTGCGGAGGGCAGAGCCCGCTGGCGGGTTACCGCCGGGCACCGGAGACCGGAGGGCTGGGGAAAGCGGCGCCGGCCCTGCGCCCCCAGCCGACCCGGGCGCGGGGCGCCACGGGCGTGGGGCGCGGGGCAGCGGGCGCGGGGCGGCGCCGGCCCCGGGCGGCTCTCCCACTAGGGGTAGCTGTTGCCTGAACGCCGGAGCGCTCCCCTCTCGCCGCTTGCCTCGCCCAGCGCAGCCCCGGCCGCTGGGCGCACCCGTCCCGTTCGTCCCCGGACGTTGCTCTCTACCCCGGGAACGTCGAGACTGGAGCGCCCGAACTGAGCCACCTTCGCGGACCCCGAGCGCGGCGGCGCGACTCACCGCGGAGGCGCCCGGACGCGTCAAGTGCGTACTTTCAACCGTAAATGGGTGCTGAGCGTTTAGGGGTGCGGGGCAACTCCCTAACCCGTGGGGCCCTGGCCGGCCCTGCCGCGGCGTCCGAGACCTTCTGATCCCTCGCTGCGCGCGGCGCGGGGTTGGCGACTTGGGCTCAGGGGCGGCGGGGCGGGGAGGTGCCTTGACCTAGGGTCCCAGAGGCCGGGAGCAAGTCTCCTTTCGCATTGGACCGCTGTGTCCCCCAGGGCAAAGCCTGAACCAGGCCAGGAGGGTCTGTCCCCCGTCTGGGGAGCTGAACTGCCCGGGACACTGTAGCAGTCGCGGCGATTTGTCTGGAGCGGCGGGGCTTGAGCCCAAGTCCGAAGCCGCCGCCGCCAGCGTCCCGTGCGTCTGCCGCCCCGGGACCTGCCGCGGAACTTCTTCTCGGGACGCAGACCGCGCTAGCCGCCCGGGCCGAGGTAGGAGCTGGCTGGGCTCGATAGGGCGCGGGCGAATCGCTTTCGGCAGCGAAGGAACGTGTCGGGAGAAGCCAACCACAGGACCAGGGCCCTAGCGGGCGCGTGGAGACGCCTGCCTTGGGCGGAGGTCCCCCCCTCCAGTTTTCGTGGCTCTGGCAGGGCCCTCTGTCCCGTGAGCTCCCCACTGGACCTGTGGCTCCAGGCTTCAGCAGGTCAAGCGCCCGAGTGTGCTTGGAGGATTGGCGGCGGGGTGGCATGAGAAAGTGGCCCCTCTTCTCCATCTCCCAGTCCGGCGATTTCTCTGCTGTCTGGGGCAGGGGCGCACACCCCAGGAACTTACCACCTAGAGGGAAGCCAGCCTGGTCTCTCCCCCTTGCCTCAATGCTCCCAAGCTGCCCCTCACCACTCTGGGTAGGGGTCTTTCAGGTGGGCTAGGGAATTCTCCTTGGAAGGCCCCCTGTCTGCTGCCCTCCATCAGGGCACCTGTGAGTTAGCTGGTCATCCCCTTTTCTGGCCTCTTTTTTGCGGGGAGGAGAGTAGAGAGAGAAGCCTCCTACTCGGCAGGTCTCTGAGAGGAGGTTTGGGGGGACTTCTGAGGTTGCCCCTCCTGGGCAGAGTCAAGGGGTGTTGAGGGTTCCAACTTTTACTGGACAATCTCTCAAGCTCGGACTCCCTGATTTCTGGGAGGTTTCAGTGTAGGGCTTATGTCTTGCCCCCACCCACACAGCATTTGGTGCAGGCACATAGGATGGTTCCCCAAGCCCTTTTTCCACAGTTAATTTCAGAAAATGCATAAGCCACCTAAGGCTGGGAGAGCCTTTCTGTGCTGCCTGAGATCTGGTGGCATGTGCATGCATGTGTGTGCAAGTGTGTGTGTGTGCAAGTGTGTGTGCGCATGTGCATGTGGGTGGAAATGGTCTGGGTGGCTGTAAGACTGGCCCCTCTAGTCCCCTCTGCAGGCCCAGCCCAATAAGAAGCACCTGATCCACACTCTTTCTAGCCCCAGGGATGCTCAGGGAAGCAGCCCTTCTTGAGGGCTGTCATCTGTTCTGGGGATCTATGGCTGCTTCTTGGGCCCACAGACTATACTCCATACCTCCGGACTCCATAATATTGGACAAGGCTGGAAGGCCCATTTGGCTCCTGCAGCCTCTTGTGCAGTTGAGGACAGACCCAAGGTGCAGGTGATACTGGCCTTTGGGACACAGAACCTGGCTCAGTAACTCCCACTCCGGTCGCCTTTTCCCTCTTCTCAACCCTCTCTCCTCCGGAGCAACACTTGTCCCTCCTTCCTTCCTCTCTCTAGGGCTGCACCCCCAGCTCACCTTAGACCTGGCCCTTCCTACCTGTTGCCCCTACTGTCTTGTCCTGTCCCAGTGGTCAGGAGGGAGAGTACTGGCCAAAGGCCCAGCTCCACCTGTGACTCAGGGAAGCACCAGGCATCACCCGGAGGTCTCGGCCCCCAGAGGCCTGGCAGGCTCTGCTGTGGGGGAAGCAGAGTTTGAACTGGGGCTGCTTCTCCTGCCCTGCAACCTGACTGGGCCTCCCCCGCCTCCCTTTCTGTCTGCCCTCTTACAATTCCAGCAGGGGGCGGGCAGGGGAAAGAAAAGGAGGGACAAGTTGGACGGGGTCCATTTGGTGTCCAGGAACAACTTGGAGAGAGGCAGGGAGGGGACAGGCAGCAGGGCCCTGGCAGAGCGAGGGGAGGGCTGGCCTTTGGATGGCCTTCTGATCCCAAACGCATCCTCCTGGGGCAGTCTGCCCTTGAAAGGTAGGGCTTGGTGAACCCTGGTGCAGAGCCCCCCCGCCCTCGCCACCTCACTGCCCCAGTGCGGGGCATGGTAGACGGGTTTGCAATGGGTACAGTCTCTCTCTCCATTCCAGTAGAGCAGCTCCCAGGGCCCAGAGAGGCTGTCACTGAGACTTCCCTCGGGTGGGGTGGGTCCTGGTGGCCCTGCGTTCCCCTGCAGGAGGACCTCCTGAGGCTTCGGGCAGGAGCTGGTGCACACCTGGAGGAGAGTGCTGGTGAACGACAGGTGTGTGCCTCAGTGTTCTTGCTGCCTGGGTGTCAACCCTGCTTCACCACTGGCCCTTTGTTTCCGTCCCCTCCACTGACCTCTTAAAGCACAGAGACCCTCCGGGTACTTTCCTTCCTCTGGGCTTCTGCTCATGCTATTCCCTGCTCCCTTCTTCTACCTGGAGACCCCCATTCCTCCTCCTTCTCCACTGCCCTCACCTCCACCTGGGCCCTCTCAGCTCCCAGGAGATGGCTGAACCCCACTCCCTGCCCGCTAGTCATCCTCTTCAGCAGTCCTCCCGGAGCTGTCCTCAGTGTGGCAGCCTCCACAGCCCCTGGGTTTCACCGCTGGTTTCCAGTCTGTCTTGGACTCCAGACCTGCCCCTCCCACGCTGGCCCAGATGGATCCTCTGCAGTGACTAACCCGAACCGGCACCGGGTGAGGACCCAATAAACCTTTGTGAATGGAGTAAATGAGTGCAGTGTGTACTTACTGAAAACTCTTGTTTGGGGAGAAACTCAGGGTATTTCACTCTGTCCTTTCGTGCACCTGCAGCAGTGAGCCGGGGCAGCATGTCGGCAGCCAGGGCTGAGCACCATTGGTCAGGACCTGCCGCTGTGAGCAGACAACACTTCCTGGGAAGTCCCCTTGGGGCGTGGTGTCTGGTGAATGCACCTGTCACCTGGTCACCGGGCCAATCTGTTTCCCTTTCTGGGCTAAACAGGTCTTCCCAGGTACCTGGGCCCTCCCATGGAGGTGTTTACACTTCTCATTTGCTTCAAAAATGAATTCTTCTATCCACACGCTTGTCTAGGTTGAGCATGGGGACACCCTGCAGGGGATGGGGCGGGAGATGGCCGAGGGACCCAGAGCTCCGGTCTGAGAGGTGTCCTCAACATGACAGATCTTCATCCCTCTGAAAGTTTGAGGCAGGCATGGGGGAGGTGGCAGGACTCTGGGGTGACTGGGCAGGCTGGGATCCCAGCCAGGACGGCTTGTCAGGGCCCCAGGGCCTGGATCTAGCAGGGGTGTTTGGCAGCATTTGGGGGTTGGAGAAGGTCTGGGACTCCCGGCCAAGGAAAGGAGAAGGCCTAGGAGGCAGTGCTCTGGCTACTTGCTGTGTGACCCTGGGCATCTCTGGCCCCTTCTCAGGTCTCATCTGCATCAGGTGTGGGTTGGGTGGCGACTTTCCAGTGCCTTTCCCATGCAGTCATTCTGCAGGCCAGAAGGTTCTAGGAAGTTCTAGGAGACCCTGTTCTGGCCCTGCCTGCTGTTCTGCAGCTGCTGAGAGCCCCACTTGAGGATGAAGGTGCCCCAGTGCTGGTCCTACCTGGCCTCATGCTCTGCCACTTCCACCCAGTACCGCCTTTGTCTGCCCACTTCCTGCTGCAGCTCAGGGCCCTCCAGCCCGGCCTGGGCTCTGACTCGTTCCTGGTATGAGTGCTGCTGTGCTCCCTGGTGCTCAGCCAGATCCCAGGGCACGGGACAATGCCTTGCCAGAGGTTGCCTTTGGGTGCCTGTGTCCCACCTGGAGCTGGGTGGGGCACTGGGATGCTGGGCTACTTGTGCCAAGACAGACCCTGCTCTGAGCTGGGCCCTGAGGCTGGCTGGAGGGCTACCTTGCGAGTCAGTCCCTCCTTTCCATCTGTGATCCTCTCTGGAAAAAGGTGGGGTTCACCTGACCAGCAGATAGGCATCCCAAGTCCATGTGCTTCTCTGAGCCTCAGTTTCTTCACTGGAGAGGCGGGCCTAATGTTTGAATGTGTTGTGTTCACCATGACATGAGGGGCAAGTGTAAAGTCTATATGTGTGCATGTGTGAGTTCGTGTGTGTGTGTGTGTGTGTGTCTATTTACTTAAACCCAGCCTTGTTCCAGAGTGGATTTCAGGATTCCTCTAAGAAGCTTTGGAATGCCAGAAGATACCACAAGTGAGAAGAAAAAATAAAACAAGAGGAAGGACATACTTCCCATATGGGGACAAAGTACAGCCACAGTGTCCTCCGCTTGGGCCATGGAACAGCCGCAGGTTTTGCCCTGATTACCCTGGTGGTAAAGTCTGATTGGCTATGACTCCCAGTGTCCAAAAGATAAACACGGGCTGTGCAGTGGAGCCGCACACATGCCTGTGCATGGCCATGCCAGGTCAGAAACCCAGCCCCTCTGCTTGGGAGGCACACAGGGCTCTGGCTGAAGCCTGAAGCTTGCGATCCTCAGAGCACAGACGTCCCAGGGCTGTGTGAAGTTAGTGAGATGAGGTGTACAGAGAGAGCTCAAGGAGGAGAGGGAGTCTCGATTGCCGTCACCCGTGGCTCGGAGATGCCTGTGACAGGTGACAGTGATGTGTGTGGTGGTGTGTTCACTGATGATGCTACACTGGAGGCCCAGGGCTGTGTTGTGGTGACAGGTGTCCTCCTGAACCGGTTGACCTTTAGGGAGGCCCCCTTCACTCAAGCACTGGTCATGGAGGGGCTCTGGTCACACAAGGACTCAGGCACGTTTTTGCCCCCGAGGAGCCCCCCAGCCTGTCAGGACCCAGGGGCAGGGCAGGGTGGGATGGGTGTGCTCCAGCAGGTAGCAGGGACACCTGGCAAATGGGGTCGAATTGGGAGGCGTCTCAGGAGGTGACCATGGGCAGAGGGACAGGCTTCTGGTTCTTTGCCACTCTCCTCTTTGAAGTCCGGCGCCTGGGAACAGAACTGTGGTAGCTGCACCTGCTTGGGTAGGAAGCTGTGGGCTCTCTTCTCGCAGGGGGACAAGAGTCATTTGCGGTACCTTCTGAGCAGGTGGGGGACAGCAAAGGACAAGAGGAGGCTGTGCCTGTGCAGCTGTGTGTCCCGGCACAGGCGCCACTTCACTCCCACGCCACCACATCCTCACTGGGTGACTTTGGGCAAGTGACCTGAACTCTGTGCCTCCATCTCGTCTTCTGTAAAATGGATGGCACATCCAAGCCCACCTCCCAGGCAGGGTGTTATGAGGACAGGTGGGGGCACGTTCGCACAGTCCCCAGAATGGTGCCCACGGCACCAGAGTGCTCCGTAGGGAAATAGTGGCAGCTGGCACTGAGTCCCCAACATAAGCCAGCACTGTGGGCCAGTGCTACGACTCCTGCTTTTGGGCACTTCACAAGCTATGGCCAGGGGCCCACCACCTTTGGCCACTCCTTCCCCACAAAATTCCTGCCAGGGCCCTGCCAGATAATAAGTCACAGGACTTCTCCATCACAGAAGCCCAACTCTGTGACACCTCTTGGTCCCAAGCATTTTCCTATCCCCCATTCATGTGTTTTGTTAGGACCGTTTAGGGTTGCACGTGGCAGAAACTTAATCCACACTAACTTTAGCAACTTTAGCGAAGAAGGAATGTACTGGCTCCAGTCAGTGAAAAGTCCAGGAGGAGCCATGCCTTCAGGCACGGCTGCATCCAGGCACTCAACAGGTGCATCCAGGCACTCACCAGGTGCAGCCAACACCTTGGCCCGCAGGCTGTCAGCTCCTGCCTTCTGCTGCATCCGCGTCACTGTAGGTGGATTTCTCCGCACATGGGCGAGATGGCCCCAGGAGCTCTGGCTCATGGAGTCCTTGTAGCACCTGTCCTGGCCATCCCCAGAAGAGAAAGCACCATTTCCCATGGCAGAAATCTGGTGGAAACAGGAGAGAGGGGGTTGGCTCTCTTTGGTCGGATCTGGGTCTTGTGCCCATCTCTGGGAGAGAAAGGTCCTCACTCACAGAAACTGAGCAGATCCTGGATTGGATGGGGAGAGATGCTTTCAGACACACACACATTCACTGCACTCACTGCAAGGATAGTGACAATAGTAGAAGCTGCTCTTTCTTGAGAAGTTATGACGTGTGCCAGAAAATTCTACCTTTTAAGGATATAGAGAGGTTTTTATCATCCCCATTTTACAGATGACAAAACTGAGGCTCTGAGAGGTGAAGTGATTTACCTATGGATGCATAGCTAAGGTCTGACCCCACAATTCACACTCACAAGTTAGCAAGAGATGTTTCACCAGGGTAGTCTGGGGGCAGAAGGAGTCTGCCTGGTGAGGGAGGGGAGGTGGAGATGTGGGGAGTGGGGAGGCCAAGAGGAGGGGACGCCAGGACCTGGCCTCTGGCTTGCACAATGGGGAGGGAACCCTGGAGAAGAGGTTTATGGGGGAGGCTGCTGAGTTTTTTGGGCACATATGCTAAGTTGGAGGTGTCCATGGTCCTCAGGAGATGTTCGGGATTTGGGGGACAGAGGTGAGCCTCGGCATCCTGGGAATCATGGCTGTTTGCTTTGGGAATTTCACAGTGGGTGGGGGAAGGCGGCTGCTGACAGGAAGCACTTCCCATTTGGTGGAGAAGGCAGCCAGAGCCTGCATGGCACAGGCTACGACCTGGGCCTGTGACAGCGTCTACGACCGGGGCCTCAGGTTCAAGACAGACGCAGGGCCTGAAGTTCTCTGGCAGTTGTTTTAGGGCAAACATGTTGAGAATGGCATTTCCAAGGGCCTTGGACTGTGCCGGGGCACCAATGCCAGTAGGCCGGGGCCATTCCATGAGGACCACGCCTTTCTGAGGGATGCTTGGAATCCCAGACTGGGGTTCAAATTCCGACTGTGCTTCCTAGAGGCTATGTGGCCTTGGGCATGTCTGGAGCCTCTCCGGGCCACAGTTTGCTTATCTGGGAAGGAGTCATGGTAGCTTCTTCTCATGGGTTTACGGGGAGCTTGGGAGATGGAGGGTGGGGCAGCACACGGGGCTCAAGCTGCAGCTCTTAGTTAACTGCTTTTCCTTTGCAGGTGTCCGATGGATCTGATGGAAAGGTGGCAGGCGAAATGCACCTGGCCTCAGCACCAAGGGCCGTGAATGCCGTGGCAGTCGTAGCTATGTGGTCGGAATGGACTAGGATGGTCCTTCCACCAAGAAGGCTGGGCCTTCCTGCTCCTCGTTGTCCAGCTGCAGAAAGTGATTGGGCTTGACACAACTGCCCCTTCCTCCACACACTCCCAAATATACCTACCCCTCCCCAACCCAGTCCTCCTCGCCAGACTGTGGCTCCCGGGTGACAGGGCAGAGTTGGACTCACCTCTGTCTGCCAGGCCAGCTCTCCATGGGGGCAGGTCCCAAGAGGCCTCTGGATTTGGACCAACTTCAGTGTGAGCTTGAGCAAGCCCTTAGCCTCCCTCAGCCTCCGTTGCATGAGGCGTTGTGCTGGTACGTCTCAGAGCAGGTGGCGCTACCTGGTGAGCCTGTTCATCAGACAGGCTGTCCATCAGACAGAGCCTGGGTGGCTCTGTCCATCATCTTTGTCACTGTAATGCTGGTTAACAAATAAACATGAAACAATGAGTGGTCATTTCTCAGGTGCCATGGAATCGATTTAGTGGGTCCAGGGCTCAGCCAGGGCAGGCTCCCTGGTGGGCCCGGCTGGGACGGTGGCCGCTGTGCTCTGCTCCATACCTCTGATCTTCTGCAAACTTGCCCAGGCCTGATCTTGTGGCAACGGCAGAGGCACACGAAGGAAGCAGCACCCACACCTGAGCAGCAGGGAGCCACTTGTGCTGCGTCTACTCACCCTGCATGGGCTCACGGCAGCCGTGGGTGAGCACTCACATGGGAGCAGAGGGCCTGGCGAGGCTGCTTGGCCAAGGGTCTGGGTGCAGGGAGACGTGAAGACTAGGGCTCTTTGCAATCTGCCACAGCGAGTGAGCCAAGGTGTCACCCGGGGACTTCTGATGGTGATCACCCACCACCCGGGTACTCCAGCTGGACCAGACCTAGCCCTGTCTTGAGGGAAAGACAGATCCTTGCCTCATCTCTTACCACAACCGCACCCAAGGCTGGTGGAGTCCACAGCCGTAGGAAGGCAGCTTCAGGGACAGGGTGGGAGGCTAGAGGCCTCTTGTATTCCAAAGGGCACAGATGTATGGGACAAAGCAGGGAACGACCCAGCATCCCACTTGGTCATGTTCCTGCCAGGAGACTTAGGTGCCGTCCGTGGCTTCATCTCTACCACAGAGACTGGACTTGGGCTTTGTAAAGGTAGCCCCCAGCGCTATGGTTCAGTCTCTTTGTAGAGAGACAGAGAGTAAGGGTGAGAGTGAGCCATGGAGAGAAAGAGGGGGCAGGCCTAGTCTCTGCCTCTAATTATTTGCCTCTTCCTCTTCTGCAAGTCCCCCTCAGTGGAGGTGGGATGGAGTGTGCAGGGGTTGAGGACTGGGGGATGGGTATGTGATGTGAACCCTTTTCCATGGTTCTGATGGCCTCACCCTGGGAGCCTGGGAGCTGGTCTGTGGGGTAATTCCGTGGGCAGAAGGGTTGGGGTGGGAGTGGGGGATCCCTTGGAAGCAGGGCTCTGTAGCCTTGTCTCCCTTCCCTTCCTGGGGGGTGGCTGTTCCTGGGAGGGGCGGGTGGTTGTATTTGGAACAGGAGCCTGTTACAGTTAAGCAGTTCAAGATGCTGGAAATGGAGTTCCCGGGATGACTGGAAAATCCATGCTGCGTTATTTTTCAGGAGCACAGTGACAGTGGCACTGACTACTCTGCCTGGCAGACAGAAGTAGCAAGGATGTTTTCAAACTCATATTGAGCTTGGTGTGTTTTCACATGTTAATCCTGCAGTAGGGATCTCTGTGCCCTTTGTGGAACTGTGAAATGAAGTCTCTTTGAGGGGAGCATGTGTCCAAAGTCCAACTAAGAGGTGGAGAGGCAGGATGGCATGTCTACCCACCCAGCCTTCAGGCCATTCATCCACCCATCCACTTATCCACCCACCCACCAGTTCATCCATCCGCCCATCCACCCACACCCACCAGTCCATCCATCCATCCATCTGTCCGTCTGTCCATCCGTCTGTCCATCCATCCGTCCATCCATCCATCCATCCATCCATCCACCCAACCACCTACGTGTCCGTGCGTCCATCCATCCATCCATCCATCCATCCATCCATCCATCCTTCCTTCCTTCCATTTGTCTTTGCATCCACCTGTCCATCCATCCATCCATCCATCCATCCATCCATCCATCCATCCAACCAACCATTCATCCATTTGGCACCTGCAGCACTTTCACTTTTCTGATGACCCAGACCAGGGCCTGTTCTGGGGGCTCTTGCTCTGGGAGGTGAGTGCTGGAATGACAGGCTGGCTTGGATGCTGGCCCCAGAGCACCGACTGAGGGTCCAGGAAGAGGTGGCGCCGTAACCCAGAGAAGACTGTGTAGCTGTCCTTATAAACCCGTGCACAGCCTGGTCCTGAGTCTACCCCCGTGGCCAGCAGCACAGGATGACGGTACTGGGGACTTCTGCAGGGACTTGCTTCCTACAGGTAGTTTCATGACCTGTACAGCAATCTCTTTGCTGGAGTTTCATGTGATGCGTTTGGGGATGTAGAGGGTTCTGTGGATTCTCACTGGGGGTGGGGCGGGGGACAGGCAGAATAGCCTCATGGCCACCCTGTGGTGGGGCTCCCTGAGGTCACCGTGGACATCCTGGCCCTGTGTCCCCTGGTGTCCTTGGTGGCTGGACCTGAGTGCTGTGAGTCAAGCTGGAGCAGCATCTGGGGCCCTAGCACGGGCACGGACCCAGTCTCTAGTGACAACCTCCCTCGTCTCACAAAGCAAATCTCTCCCACGGTGCTGTCGCCTCAGGTCCTCTAGTGATTCCTGTTGCCCTGGAGATAAAATTGCGGCATCTCAGGGTGGCCAGGAGCTTTCTCAGGGAGACCTGCTGGGAGGCCAGGAGCATGGAAGTCCCTCAGAAGGGAAGGGACGTGGCACATTTGAGGGAGAATCTCTTGGAGAGCCCTAGAGAGCTCACCCTGAAGGACGAGGAGGCTGCCACTCTCTGGGACGTGTCCCACGTGGATGAGAAAGGCTGCAGTCCCCAGGTCTGGGCACCACACCTAGGCAGGTGGGGCCTGTATCATTCCCCAGGCAGGTGCCGGGCACTCAGCGCTGTCCCCGGAGACACAGCCTTGGGGGCGATGGACTCGCTGTGCCAGAGCTCCAGCTCTGTCAGTTCCTTTCTGAACATGGAGGCCGGGAGTCCCTCCTTGGGGATACTGTGGGGGCCTGGGGAGTGGGTCCTGGGTAGGTTGGCCTTGATGGGCCTTCCAGGCCTGTGGGATACACGGGTTCACAATTCTGGGACATAGGCTCTAGGAGACCCGAGAACCGAGGCCTCCCGGGGGTCCCTGCGAGAGGTGAGTACAGTGGGGACCTGGAGGAGCTGAGGCAGCCTGGGGGAAGGGACTGGAACCCTGAAAGGGCTTAGTCCAGCTGCAGGAAGCTGTGGGCAGGAGATGCAAGCACTGGGTAGAGAGGCCAGGACAGGTGGGCCGCTGTTGGGCTAGAGCACATTTTCAGAGACAAGGGCAGGGAGGCATTTAGGCAAGTGTAAGGGGAGTGCTTTGGGACAGAGGGCCTGAAGGAAGAATGATGGTGTGTGTGGACACCGAGCCGCCACCTCCCCTCCCCCATCCTTTCCTCTCCTTCCTTCCCTCTCTTCTCTTTCTCTCCCTGCTTCTTCCTTCTCTCTTCCCTTTCCTCCCCCTGCCTCCTCTTCCCTCTCTAGCTCCTTCTTTGCCTTTTCCTCCCTTCCTCTCCCTTTGCCCTCCCCGTCTCTCCCTTCCTTCCCTCTTCCCTTCTATCTCATCCCCTCGTGCCCCTTCCTACCTGCCCCTCCCAGCCTCTTTCCTTCCCTCCTCACGTGGCAAGCAGTCCCTGCACCCGCCACCCCGTGCTCCCCAGGGCCTGGCTCTGCAGGCATTAGGAGATGCTTACACGGAGGGCTGTGCTCCTTACAGCAAGAGACTCCTGCAGCCGCGACCACTGGGGCCCTGCTGTCATGGGGAGGGTGGCAGTCTGGTGGAGACGGCGGACCACCCCCCAGGCACCTCCACCAGGCAGGCTCAGTGACTGTCCCACTCCTGGGAGCCACAAAGCCTGTCGCCAGGAGCCAGGCAGGGATAGCAAGTGGGGTCTTCTGAGGCCAGGGCGGGTGGTCCTGGGTTGGGGGACCAGGGTGTGCTCTGAGCTCTTGGAGTGCCCCCAGTGCTCCTTGTCCTGGGTGAACAAGGGTCCTCGAGACCTGGCCTCTACAGGCAGCATCCCCGCCCCCCACCCGGCCGGTGCTGGCCTTGGAGGGATTCCGGGGGCACCTCTGTCCTCAAGAAGGGCTCTTTGGAGAGGAAAAAAGAACACATTTCAACACCTCCAGATTCTGAAAATGGATTTCTCCCAGGGAAACAGAGACTCAGAGCATGTTCTTTTCCCTGAGAGGGAGCCAGGAAAACAGCAATGGTTGGGGGGGGAGGAGGGGTAGGAGGGGAGAGAAAGGCCTCAGCAAGAATCACCGAGAATCAGGACATGGAGTCAGAAGGACCTGGACTCAGGTCCTGCCGGCCACCGATGGGCCACGGACCCACGCGTGCGACTTCACCTCTCGGAGCCTCAGTTTGTTTCTCTGTCCAATGGGGTAACTCCATCTCTATCCCTGCCTTGTAAGGAATGGCTGTGGATGGGATGTGGATAGAGCAGTTCTTGCTCCTCACCCCTTCTGGAGACCAGGATGATAATGTCAGAGTGTTTCTGAATGACACCCCCAGCCCCAGGAAGGGTCAAATGGTGCTAGGTACACTGGTTCTGACTGCCGGACCCAAATCCTTGCTGTGTGACCTCAGTGAAGTGGCCGACCCTCTCTGGGATCCAGCTGCTTCTTCCATTGATTGGGCAAGGATCTCCACCTTGTGAAGTCATTGGGAAGATTCGCTGGGATGTGGATGTGGTGCCAGGTGCAGCCTGTGCTCTGGGATGTGCTCAAATTGGCTGGGGTAGGGGTATCTCCAGGCAGTGGTGGGGCTTGTCTGTCCCCGGGCATGGCCTGGCTTTGACTAGTCCCTTCTTCTGTGGCTGGTCCCCTCCAGGGCAAATCCTCCCCACAATCCCACTCCCTGGGCTCTAAACAGCTCTTGCTTTGGCTGGCACAGCTTTGGGCTGCCTCCTCCAGGAAGTCTTCCCTGACTGCCTGGTTGGGATGGAAGGGCTCCTTGGCTCTGGCCTGATCCCCTCCATGCTGTCTCTCTGGGAACTTTGCAGCTGCCTCCTTTTGGGTTTCTACATCTCTGATCTTATCTCTTCCTCTCTGTCTTCTAGATGTCTTCATGTTTTAGAGCTGCTCTCTGCCTGGGAGGCTGCCCTGCCATGGAACGGACTGCAGCTCTTCAAAAACATCCAGACTGCTTGGCCTGGCCTTCAGGGCTTCCAGATAGGGTCTCTGCTTCCCTTTTCAGCTCCAGCCCCTGTCCCTGCTTGACACTGAACTGACATCCCCCGCAAGGGAAATGTTGCCATAGCT